TAGAACTCCCCCTCTCCCAGTGATTGGCGCAGAGTCACCCAGCTGGCTTTCATGTCTAAGGCAGGACTAGAACTCACCCTCTCCCAGTGATTGGCCCAGAGTCATCCAGCTGGCTTTCATTCTTAAGGCGGGACTAGAACTCACCGTCTCCTCATGATTGTCTGAAAGCTACCTAGTCAACTTTTGTGTCTAAGGCAGGACTAGAACTCACCATCTCCTGGTGGTTTTCCCAGAGTCAGCCAATTTGCTTTCATGCCTAAGGTGGGGCTAGAACTCCCAGTTTCCTGGTAATTGGTCCAAGGTGTCCCAGCTGGTGCACGAACAGTTGTAAGTCAAGGACCACCTATATTTGTATTTCACATGTTAATGAAGCGTTCGCTACCCAGAATCCCTTTCTTCAAAAAGGGGCAGCTGTCGAAATTGGTTTAATAAATCCGGGTCCCGATTGCGGTAGCGCAACCAAGAACGAAACAAATGAAGACCAGCTCGTTTCAGTCCTGTCAGCTTACTATTCATAGTACAGGCAGTCCTCGACTTACGACCAAAATTTCTGTCGTTAAGTGAGACACTTGTTAAGCGAGCTTCGCTCCGTTTTACGATCTCTCTCGCCACAGTTGGTGAGTCGCTCAGTCCATACACCAAATTGACTTTGCTTGTCAGAAGGTCGCCAAAGGCGATCACAAGACCCTGGGACACCGCGGCCGTCGTAAATATGAACCGGTTGCCAAGCATCTGGATTTGGATCACGTGGCCACAGGGGTGCTGCAACGGGCATAAGGGTGAAACACGGTCATCGGTCACTTTTTTCGGAGCCGTTGTAACTTTGAGTGGTCACTAAAGGAACTGTTGTAAGTCGAGGACTTAACCTGTATTGTTCTTTGGCTAACTGGCAGAGCTTTCCCAAGGCGGGTGCATGAGTTCGTTCACCTGGAACCGAGGAGGAGACTTCAAAGCACGCAGATGGGATACTGATTTACCCACCGACTCAGGAGTAAGTCCACCTTGGAGTCCAAAGCCGCCTTAAATCAGTAGTGCAGGGGTAGGCAACCTTGGCTCTTTTATGACTCGTGGACTTCAACTCCCAGAATTCCTGAGCCAGCTGTGCTGGCTCAGGAATTCTGGGAGTTGAAGTCCACGAGTCATAAAAGAGCCAAGGTTGCCTACCCCTGCAGTAGTGGCACTAAGACCCACGTGTATCGGATCCCCTGTCCCTTAAATTTTTCTCTTGCAAGCAAGGCTGCTGGCAGAGTTACTGTTTATTTTTAATCTATTTGTACCCTGTCTTCCTTATTCTTACAAATAATTCAAGGCAGTGAACGTATACAACACATCTTCTTCCTTCTGTGTTCCTCACAACAACCCTCTGAGGTGGGCTGGGCTCAAAGAGAGAATGCTTGGCCCAAAGTCACCCAACTGGCTTTCAGGCCTAAGGTGAGACTAGAACTCATCAGCGCCTGGTGATTGGCCCAAGGTCACCCATCTGGCTTTCATGGCTAAGACAGGGCTAGAACTCACTGTCGCCTGGTGATTGGCCCAAAGTCACAGAGGTGGCTTTCATGCTTAAGGTGGGACTAGAACTCTCAGTCTCCCAGTGATTGGCCCAAAGTCACCCAGACGGCTTTCATGCCTAAGGTGGAACTAGAACTCACCCTCTCCCAATGTTTGATCCAAAGTCACCCAGGCAGCTTTCATGCTTAAGGTGGGACTAGAACTCACCCTCTCCCAGTGATGGGCCCAAAGTCACCCAGGCAGCTTTCATGCTTAAGGTAGAACTAGAACTCACTGCCTCCTGGTGATTGGCCCAAAGTCACAGAGGCGGCTTTCATGCTTAAAGTGGGACTAGAACTCTCAGTCTCCTAGTGATTGGCCCAAAGTCACCCAGGTGGCTTTCATGCCTAAGGCAGGACTAGAATTCACCCTCTCCTAGTGATTGGCCCAAAGTCATAGAGGCGGCTTTCATGCTTAAGGTGGGACTAGAACTCACCGTCTCCTAGTGATTGGCCCAAAGTCACCCAGGCAGCTTTCGTGCTTAAGGTAGAACTAGAACTCTCAGTCTCCTAGTGATTGGCCCAAAGTCACCCAGGCAGCTTTCGTGCTTAAGGTAGAACTAGAACTCTCAGTCTCCTAGTGATTGGCCCAAAGTCACTCAGGCGGCTTCCATGCCTAAGGCGGGACTAGAACTCACCCTCTCCCAGTGATTGGCCCAAAGTCACCCAGTCAGCTTTCATGCTTGGTAGAACTAGAACTCTCAGTCTCCCAGTGTTTGACCCAAAGTCACCCAGGCAGCTTTCATGCCTAAGGCGGGACTAGAACTCTCAATCTCCTAGTGATTGGCCCAAAGTCACCCAGGCAGCTTTCATGCCTAAGGCGGGACTAGAACTCTCAATCTCCTAGTGATTGGCCCAAAGTCACCCAGGCAGCTTTCATGCCTAAGGCGGGACTAGAACTCACCCTCTCCCAGTGATTGACGCAAAGTCACCCAGTCAGCTTTCATGCTTAAGGTAGAACTAGAACTCTGAGTCTCCTGGTGTTTGACCCAAAGTCAACCAGGCGGCTTTCATGCCTAAGGTGGGACTAGAACTCACCTCTCCTGGTGATTGGCCCAAAGTCACCCAATCAGCTTTTAGGCTTGGTAGAACTAGAACTCTCAGTCTCCCAGTGTTTGATCCAAAGTCACCCAGGTGGCTTTCATGCTTAAGGCGGGACTAGAACTCACATGCTTTGTTTCTGAAGCGTCTGACGTGGTGCTCAGTCTCACCTTCCTTTCTCCCTCCAGATCATTATGCACGTCTTCTGCACGTATCTTGACTCCAGGTTGCCTCCCCATCCGAAGTATCCCGACGGCAAGACATTTACCTCCCAGCATTTCATTCAGACACCTGATAAACCAGGTAACGGAGGGGTATATATTTTTTAAAAGAGTACAACCTCGACTTAACCACCACAATGTGGCTCCAAATTTCGGTCATTAAGCAAGACAGTTCTTAAGTGAGTTTTGCCACCAATGTTAAGTGAAAGAGTACAGAGAAGAGCAACAAAGATGGTTAGAGGACTTATATAAAACATATGAGGAACGGTTGCTGGAATTGGGTATGTCTAGTTTAGTGAAGAGAAGGACGATGGGGGACATGATAGCAGGGTTCCAATCTCTCAGGGGCTGCCCCAAACAAGAGGGAGTCAAGTTATTCTCCAAAGCATCAGAAGGCAGGACAAGAAGCAACGGATGGAAACTAATCAAGGAGAGAAGCAACTTGGAACTAAGGAGAAATTTCCTGACAGTTAGAACAATTAACCAGTGGAACCACCTGCCTCCAGAAGCGGTGAATGCTCCAACACTGGAAGCTTTTAAGAAGAGACTGGACAGCCATTTGTCTGAAATGGCGTAGTGTTTCCTGCCTGAGCAGGGGGTTGGACTAGAAGACCTCCAAGGTCCCTTCCAACTCTGTTACTCTGTTCTGGACCACCGATTCTCCACATACACACAGATGTTTCTGCTTGCTTAGAGTTGTGTACATTCACCGTTGAGGTTCTTGGGAACATTTGGGGGGAGAGCTTTTAGGTAGAACCACCTGGACCCCACCAGTGGTGATCTGGATGGCCTCTCACTCCATATTGCAATGGAACTTCATTTAATTTTGTTTAATCTTGTTTAATTTTGCTGTCACTAAGGCCAGATCTGATCCTTGTCACTCACAGATATGTCGAACGAGAATTTGTTCTGCGTCTATCAGAGTAGCATCAACCCTCCCCATTACGAGCTGATTTATCAACAACAGGTCTACAATCTTCCTAAGGTAGGAGTACTACAGCTTCTCTCTGACTTTTCCAGAACAGAGTGGTTGCTGATTATATTTTTAAATATTTTAAAATATTTTTAACGGTGAGGATTGATATGTCTCTGGGGTCCTTGGTCCTCTCTCAGCTGGGTGGTTTTTGTTGCAGATGTTTGGTGACCCAACTAGGGAACATCATCAGTTCTAGAAGGGAGGGGGATTTGCAGGGAGGAGGAAGAGGAAGACTATGGGGTCCTTTTTGCTCTCTGAGCTGGGTGGTTTTCTTGCTGACGTTTCATGACCCAACTAGGTTATATCATCAGTGCCGTAAGGGAGTGGGGAAACGTCTAGTACTGATATTACCTAGTTGGGTCATGAAACATCTGCAAGAAACCAAGCTCACAGAGCATCAAGGACCCCACAGTCCTCCTCCTTCTCCCCCTCTCTTTCTCCTCCTTCTCCCCTCCTTCTCCTTCACTCCATTAACCCCCTCCCTTGTAACGCTGATGATGTTCCCTAGTTGGGTTATGAAACGTCTGCAAGAAAACCACCAAACTCAGAGAGCACCAAGGACCCCATAGTCCTCCTCTTCCTCCTCCTCCTCCTCTGCCTCCCCCCTCCCCCATAGCAATGTTCCTCAACCTGGGCCATTTTAAGATGCAAGGACTTCAACTCTTGACGTGTGTTTTTTTTAATTGTCATTCTTTAGCAACTCCCAAATTGTTTGGGGTAAACACAAAGCTAGGCCCCAGGGAAGGAGGAAAGACACACCTTGTTGCAAGTGCAAACTGGTCAGGCTCTCCTTACCTGTTCGCTTTCTTTTCACCTCTCCTGTTTAGGGCCGAAACAACCTGTTCCACACTTTGCTGATGTTCCTGTACATCATCAAGACTAAGGAATCCGGCATGCTCGGGTACGTATGATGGTCTAGAAATCAGGGTTAGGCAACCTTAGCTTTTTTATGACTGGTGGACTTCAACTCCCAGAATTCCTGAGCCAGCCATGCTGAGGGGAAAGGGAGAGGTTTCCAAGCTGAGCCATGCTGGCTCAGGAATTCTGGGAGTTGAAGTCCACGAGTCATGAGGGGATCATAGTTCCCCCCTGCTGGCTCAGGAATTCTGGGAGTTGAAGTCCACCAGTCATGAGGGGGCCATAGTTCCCCCCTGCTGGCTCAGGAATTCTGGGAGTTGAAGTCCATGAGTCATGAGGGGGCCATAGTTCCCCCATGCTGGCTCAGGAATTCTGGGAGTTGAACTCCACCCATCATCAAAGAGCCAAGGTTGCCTACCCCTGTCCTAAGTCCTTCTGTTCTAAGTGGTGAGTCTCCTAGACCAGGGGTAGGCAACTTTGGCTCCTTTATGACTTGTGGACTTCAACTCCCAGAATTCCTGAGTCAGCCATGCTGAGGGGAAAGAGGTTTCCAAGCTGAGCCATGCTGGCTCAGGAATTCTGGGAGTTGAAGTCCACAAGTCATAAAAGGGGCCATTCAGCCATGCTGGCTCAGGAATTCTGAGAGTTAATAATAATAATAATAATGATAAAGTTGGAAGGGACCTTGGAGGTCATCTAGTCCAACCTCCTGCTCAGGCAGGAAACCCTATACCATTTCGGACAAATGGCTGTCCAGTCTCTTCTTAAAAACTTCCAGTGTTGGAGCACCCACCACTTCTGGAGGCAGGTTGTCATAAAAGAGCCAAGGTTGCCTATCCCTGACTTAGGATGATGTGCAACCTGGATCGACGCCATTTGTGGACCGCCCTGTATTTGCAGCAGGGGTTTTAGCAGATCAGAATTTGTTCATGATCCATGTAATCAGTTTTATATTGAATTTGAATAGGGGCAGGAAGCAAGGAGGTGTGCAGTAAGTGAGGTTAAACGCAGTGGACCACTTAAAGACACGTGGACTTCAATTCCCAGAATTCCACAGACAGCAGTCCAGGGCTCCCATCTTTTTTTTCTCTCTCTCTCTCCTTCTGCCGTATTGTGTTAAAGTAAAGTGAAAATTAAACCATCCACAGCTAAACAGATGGCCTTTTCAAACCTATTCTTTCCTGGTAGTTCTTCAAAAAAAACAAACCCTACCAAAATATGGTTTTTGGTGCAAAACAAGATTTTTAAAAATAGAGCAGCTAGTGGGGGAAAAAAAACGGATCTTGTCTCTTGGGCCTCAAAATTCATCACACACGTCTGATTTTGCACGGTTTATTTCTAGGTTGAGAGAATTTGTGAAGTCCTTGATGAAGTTTTTGTGATCTCATAATAATAATAATAAAGTTGGAAGGGACCTTGGAGGTCATCTAAGGGTGTCGTTCTCTTTTCACAGGCGAGTCAACCTTGGATTATCCGGCGTGAACGTTCTCTGGATTTTGGGAGACTAGCTGATTCTTCCAGCCACAAACTCTTTTAACTCCAAGAGGATAAAATCTTTCCCTAGGAAGAGAATTTATCTATGAGATTGTACCGCCTTGAATTTCACTGCCCTACAAAGAGAGAGCTGCTTTATTTTTATTTATTTTTTTTACAACAGTGGAACAGTAAAAAAAAAATACGTTTTTTTAATGCCGTTTCTACGCACGAGGTTTAAACAGAAGGAAAACTTAATTTTTATTGGATTAACTGAATGGCTTTTTTTTTTTTTGAAAATTTGGGATGAAGTCAGCCTGAAAGTTTGATCAAAGGTTCCCATTGATCAATCTGGAGCCCAAATTGAACAAAATCCGGAGTCCCTAAAATGTACTAAGGATGATTGCTTCTAGACAAAACCGATATATTTAAAGAATAACACTAAGCTAAAATTCAAAAAGGATAAAACTAGAATCAGGATCCTGCGCAGTTTGGCTGCTCTTCGCGAAGGTAAAGCTAGCACAGAAAGGTGTTAAAATATGTTTTCTTACTCTCTGCGCGTGGTTTTTCGGTGAAAATACCAGTTATTCCCAGAGCCACATTTTAGAATCTGGTTTGCTTTGAGAACACTCCAAAAAATTATTTTTAGAAGTTAAAAAAGTTGAACAGGGTTCCCCCTCCACCCCCCCAGGATTCTTGAAAATTGAACATCACGCTGTCATTCCATCAGTGTTCTTTCTGGGGAATATATATATATATTTTCAGAAAGAACACTGATGGAATGACAGCGTGAAATTCAATTACACAGAGGGGAAAAAATATTTTTTTCCCCTCTGTGTAATGGGCAATGGAAAAAGCAACGTTGTTAGAGAATAATGCACGTTTTTTTCAATAGCTATGTGTTTCTCAAGTTTAAGATAGGCGGACTTCAGCTCCCAGAATTCCACGCTGGCTGAGGAATTCTGGGAGTTGAAGTCCACGAGTCATAAAAGGGCCAAGTTTGAAGACCCCCGTTTTAAAACTTTGCCTCTTTACTACAGCAGCCACGTTCTGTTCAAAGCAACTTTTAAAAAGGTGATTTATTTTTTTTTTGCGATATTCCACGGAAAGGTTAGCAACTACGGTGATATTTTTTAAAAAAAAATTTTTTTTTTGCTCCGCATCTTTAAGATGTCCAGGGCTGCGAAAGGCTGCCCGATTGTGTTTCTCACTAGTTGTGTCCTGACTGTAAGTAAGGCTTTTGCTAACAAGTTGCCTTAACTGTTTGGGTCTGTGCATTGTGTCAACACAAGAACAGGCAAGCTAGCGTGTTTGCAGCTGGGGGGGAAAAAAAATACTGTTTTGTAATCGTGGGTCTTCCTTTATCAGTGCCAAGATTTTGGGGGGATGATATTAAATAGAATTATTTTGTTTATTCTCATCTCAACGTTTTATTTGAACCCTTTACTTTCCTGCTGTTTCTTTCTGATCTTTGTGCACTTAAATCTTGACCTCTTTTCCACGGGTCCCAAAAGCAGGAAGTGAACTGATCTGCCGTCTTTAGCCGATACAGCTAGTCCTCGACTTACGGCGATCCGTTTAGCGACCGTTCAGAGTTACAGAAGCACTGAAAAAAGTGGCTTGTGATTCATTTTCACACACGACAACCATTGCGGCGGCATTGTAGTCTCCTGATCAAAATTCAGGCGCCTGGCAAGAGGCATATACCATACTTAACGACGGTTGCACCGTCCTGGGGCCGTGTGATCCCCTTTTGCGACCAACATCCGACAAGCAAAGTCAATGAGGGAGGCCAGGTTGTTAAGATTCCCTTAACAATTGCAGTGGTTTGCTGAACAACTGTGGCAAAAGGTTTACCGCCGTGCTGTTCACTTAATGACCTCCGTTGGTCTCGCGTTGTGATCATGTCAGATCGTGTCTTATTGCACTGAGATAACCCAGGAGTAAATACAGTAAACAGTGGTCTATATTAAATGGTGGTTTATATTACACTATCTGCAATATCATACACCAGGAACAATATACATACACGTGGCAATACAGCAAACTCCAACATACAGCAGTTAACAGCAGAAAAC